CCCCCCCCCTCTCTCTCTCTCTCTCTCTCCGAAGTTTAAACACGCAGTCACGCATAGCGCGAGGACGCGGAGGTCCGATCCCTACCTCTTCCACTTTCTCGGTGGTGGAGCAGAAGCGGCAGCAGAAGCAAGCAGCCTTGAAGAGAGGCGCCGCTAACAACGGCCCGGGGGGAGGGGGGGAGAGGGGAGGAGGTCCGCGGCGCAGACCGCACTAATCATCGGTTTCCACCTGCTAACCCAGCGCCCCGCCCCGCCCCGCTGGGGCTGGAGGGCTCACGGCTCGCCCCCGCAGCCTCAGCGCCCGCCCCACCGGGTGCCGTGGCGTGGCGTGCCGGCCGCGCCGCGTTGAGCAGGAAATGGGCCCTGTCCAGCTGAGAGGGTGTGAACTGATCGCGCCGGCAGCGGGGCACGCCGCGGCAGCCTCTACCTATAGGCCGGGGGAGGAGGCGAGTTGGGATTACCTCTCTGCAGTTCGACGGAGCTGCCCTCCCTCCTGCGCTCGGCTCTATACCACAACCGGGCTCGTAGCAGCATTGCTATGGCGCTGCAGTAGCGCGCGAACGCCTCTGCTTCTCTCCAAGTCCGGGCGCCGCCAAACGTGGCGTTGGCGCTGATGGAACAGATAGCGCGTCACCGTTGTAAACATTCCAAGGGCCCGCGCCTAGAGGTGTCGCCCGGCGCACCCCGCGCCGCCCGCCCGCTCGCAGCGGAGGAAACACGGCCACAGAGTCGGGCCGAGAGCCCAGCCCGAAAACTGAAGGTGAGAAAAAATTAACCTTGAATCGACGTCTAACAAGTCATACATTTACGTTGGATTTAGAAACGATAACAATGGCCGGATCAAGGCGTCGATTCAACGTCGACGTACATGACAATGTCGATGAATTTCCGGCTGGGGGTTAGACAGTTGAATGGTTGGCCCCGCGACCCCTGTAGAAGAAGCAAGTCTGAGCATCATCCGCTGACACTGTTCTGGTCCAGAGCCGCGCGACCGCAGCCACCGCAGCGTCGGCAACAACAGCGACAACAACAACAACGTGCATCTCGGCAGAGCGGCTCGGACCAGCTGATCGTGGGAGGCAAATCGTCTGCTGCATTCAGCTTGCCCGACCGCACAACGCTTGCTTCCGCGTGAAGGTGGCGTGCCTCACCAACCGCCTCCAGAGTCGGGCGAGAGCTGCCGCCACTGATTGGGAGTATGGGGCCTGCAGAACTCGTGTGCACACTCACTCATACCCAGCGCCAGGCGGTGGCAGCATGGTGGCGGGGCAGGGCGCATAAGTTCACAACACGGCAGCGTGGACCCCACCCCTTACACGGAAACTACCCCTAAGAGTGTCCAAGAGGTGAATCCTGTTTACAAACAAGTGTGCTTCAACTGCAAGTGCCATGAATTACCTCTCAAAGCTTTCTGTACCACCTTTTTGGCACCGGAAGAGAAAACACAATTATTTCTTCCAAAAGCACATTTGATTGTACTTGAACCATCAGCGTACTTTTAAAGGGCATATGGCGAATCTTCGATGAACTTAATCTGTTCTCAAAATTTCAAATACCTCCTAGAGTTCTTGACATTTCACTTCCAAAACTGATCGCTTTTGTACCGAAAACGAACTCTTTGACCGACATACCGAAATATACGTCCAAGGTGCACCTGAAACTAGTCACTTGTTGCACCAAAAACCCAGGTTCCAAAAACGTTCTAAGAAAAATACGTGCCAGCATGGGCCAAACCTGTCCCCCTGCTACACCTTCTTGCCTCCGTCGGTACAGTAATCTACCGCCCGAGCACGTTCCCTTCCACGAGTGCATGCGCAGGATGGGGATGGGATGTAGGTAGGGCACTGCACCGCCACATGCGGCTCACAGCGCAGCCCGGCGCAGCAGCCTGGTCCACTGACCGCGCACGTCGCGGGCCTCCTTCCGGCGCCGAGCGCAGCGCGGGGCACACAGGGCACAGGCGAGCCTCCCAGATGCATCGCTCTCACCAAGTTATGTCAACTCTCCTTTGACTCACAAAGTGCGGAAAAAAATTGTATCCAGCTACAAAATAACAGCCCCTTTGCGATTTATGAATAGTGTATGAAAATGAAATGGGACATTGCAAATACTACTTGCTAGCAGTAAATATGTGCAAGCTAAGTATGACAATAGTGCATCAAAAACGTGTGGGATGTATAGATATTAACAGAGATATTATTAACACTTGCAGAAGTGCAAGTGCACACCACTCACATGGTTGTGTTTTGTTGATTTAAAAAAAAACAAAGGGCAGGATGCAATTGCTTCATTTATGGAAAAATGTCGACGCTAGGCACGGTAAACACAGCTTCTGGATGTTCAAGGACCAATACACCGATTCAAGGACGCCCCATGTGTTTTATCCCTCCCCAGTCCTTGAATCGGTATCTTGGTTCTTGGATATCAAGGAGCTGTTTTTGCCGTGGGTAGCCCCGGCTCGTCCGTCGCTCGACTCCACGCGAACAGTTACTCTTCCTTTGACGCCTTAGTCATGTATGCAGGCAGTGGCTCGCTGGACGACTGCGACCATCTTCTTCTCCAGCGATGGGTGCCCGCCCCCAGGCGCTGTCGTGCAGACCACAGGCCACACCCATACCCAGTGCTGCCAGAAAAGTTATGCAAAAACCCGCCCAATACACGTGTGTGCTGTGGGTGGCATCTCCGCCTGCCTACTAGGCAAACCGCATGCGCGCCTGTGCAGATGTTGCCTAGTAGGCAGGCGGAGATACAAGCCCGTTGCGCACAGGTGCATTGCGCGGTTTTTTGCATACCTTTCTGGCAACACTGCCCATACCGTCATTCCCTGCGGGCATGCGCACCCATACTCACTCACACACACCGACACACCAACGACAACACACAAACACACACAGTCGTGCGTTTTGCTTCCCTACACAACGCTGCCTTGCCAGCGGACCGGGTCGAACGGAAGGCATAACACGTGTATGAGGAGGGCAGTAAAACGAACTGCAAGGCAAAAGAAGTTATGAAACGAACACCTGGCAAAGGAAGGGGTTTGCGAAAGAGAGGAGTGCGCGGCGAGGGACGTTTGTTTAAACTGAAACTCATTCCAGCAGATTCGTCACGAGACAAAGTGCAGTCGCCAGAGTTCCGGACCCATACATTTTTTTTTTTAGACAGTCCCTTGTGGCTGTCTCTACCCGAAGGTAAAAGTTTCCAGTTTTGATAAAGATGGCCGATTGACCTGATTAACGTTCCAGTTATGATAAGCCGATTGACGTTGATCAAGTTCTAGTTCCCCGTTAGCCAGCTCAGCTCCAGCCCAGCGAAGCCCAGTCTGCCTATAGTATATATTCTGTGGGGAGGGCTGTGGCGTTGTGCGTTGTGCGTTGTGCGTTGTGCGCTGTGCGCTGTCTACCACAAAGTGTTGCCGCTATCTTAACAAACATGACAGGTTCAGTCGTCGCCGTGTTCCCGATGGTTTCTTGCGACCCTTGAGAGCGCCCCTGCCCCAGCCCAGCCACTTGAGAGAGCGCCGCGGCTCTTCGCTCTTCACGCCCCCGGCCCGAATCGCCCTGCCGCGCCGCGCCCCGTCCCGCCCGGCCACGCCCGGCCCTCCGCCCGGCTTGCCTGTCCACTTGACATGTGATCCACAGTCTCAAATTTGAACCACAACGTTCTCAAATATGAAATGTGCTTGTTTTCGCGCACGCCAGAAATTACGAATTCGGCAAAATTTGAATGGTGATTCTAGCATCATTTTGTCTTTTGTTGGGTGAATTTATCTAATAGACAGTCCCTGTACCCGAAGGTGAAAGTATCCCGTCTTGATAAAGGTTGCCGTTGTCGATATTGCCGATTAACGTTCCAGATTTGATAAGCAGATTTTCAGTCTTATTTTGATACCTTATTATCGCCTGTATATTTTGAATTTGCTTTTGGAGCTGGACTGTCTCGTTACCGGCCGGCAGGCCAGTTTTTTTAAAGTCCGAGGACTTTGTTTACTAGAAAACTAGATGTTAACTTAAACGACAATCGAATTAAAACAGAACATTCGAGTGTCCTTGAAATCAAATCTAATAGTTTCAGTATTTTAAACATGTGGAAGGCATAATAAAAATTATCGCAGTAAGTCTGTTTGTTTAGCTCCCAAGCTGAAAATTCAAAAAATTAGCATTTGGGCATTTGAGCTAAAATAGTCAATCCTCAAAATCCAAAACGAAAAAAG